TTGAAAGGTGCATCAGCTATAATAGAGCTCTAACTTCCCCTCATCTCCAGCTAACCCACCATCACACCAGATCCCCCAAAATCCCATATCCCTTGTCCCCATCCCATCATCCATGCCACCTCAAATCATTGGTCATGGCTGTGGCCACGGTCATGGGACCCAGCCTGACCCTACTCCCTTCAAAACAATTCCCCCATTTCTTGCTGCTCCTTTTTGTTCAGATGACGTTGGACAAGAGGGCAGATTGAATGAATGTTTTGCTGCAGCAGCAGCTATGATGCATGTAAGTATTTTGTAGATCTTTCACATAGTCCTAGCTGACCACAGTCAGATAGGCCCACCTATCGACACTCTCCAGGACCACCAATCAAGATGGTCAGCTACTTTGCCATCTCAGAATTGTCTTCATCCATATTCCAACCCCCCGCTGTCCCGAGCAGCCAGCCTCATTTTGGCTTCATGGACATTGCAAACCAGCACATCCACTGAAAACACTGAAGCCAATGATCCTTACCCACGGTGACGTCCAAAGTGTGGTTCAAGGAAGTCAGTGAAGGTTACATGGCAAATGATGCATTACCCACAGGAAGATCAGGATGTCGTCACCACAGCATGGCAACTCATCATCATAGACATGATCACGGTTCACAGTTGGTTGACCAAAGTCAACAAAGCCATCCTTCACAGCACGATAAGAGAATGCACTAATCAAGGTAATGCAAAACATGACTGCAGTAAGTCATTTTAAAATTTCATTGTACCAGTGATCAACGATATATGGAGCATCAATGGAGTGTGCTGTACAACACAAGCAGGGCCAACTATACTAATTATTTTCTCAACTATCACAACCCTAAAACTGGCAAACTTGTACTCTTCAGGCACCCCGCTGTAGGAATACAACACAGAGTGGTGCTATACAAAGATGGCTCCAAACTGATATCTTTATGTTGTGGTCTTGCACTGCCTAGTCTGCTATACTTGGTGAGACAAGTGCGTTCGACCCAGGGGTCTGTGGTCTGGGAATAGTTTTGGGGGTCAGTGAGTGAAGTGGGGTCAATAGTCTGAGCGCAGGAAACAATGTCCGAAGGTATAATTACGATGTCCGATGCAAAATGTGTTGGGTCCGATGTTTTTGGGGTTTTGGGTTATCGGGTTCGGGTTCGGGGTATCGGAAACTAATAGTAACGCTATAGCGATGACCTGCACCAAACTGGTTCGGTGCATGGATGACTGATACTCTCCTATGAGCCCTATGCCCTATGAAATCATTCTCTCTATGATCTGAAGTCAGACTGAGGCTAAGGGAATATTTTTCGTTTTTACGAGTTTGCATGCAAGCAGACTGAATATTTTAGTACATTTAATTCCGCAATGAGTTTTGCTTAGTCAGCCATGGTGATGACCCAGACAAAATCCCGCGCATGTCAGGTGACTGTGAAAAATATTTCCCACATATGTTGTCCTGGAAAAACATTCGTAAAACCCTAAATACTAGGCTTACGTCATTTTCACCCTTCAAACAAAGCAAATAAAAGACACACATACAAAGGATTCACATCATGTGACATTTCTTACTTTCTTTCTGGACTTGTCATCAGGAGTTGGATAGGTCACATGACTAGCAACAAGCCAGGATGACTTAGCAAAATACCCAATGACTCATTATGACTCACTCTGAATATATGACTCACTATGACTCACCCTGAATATATGACTCATTATGACTCATTATGACTCTTTATGACTCTTGAATATACTAGTAGCACAGCCACATTTATTGTGTATATAATGACCCCAGTTTTGAAATAATAAAAAGCAACCAAGTGGGAGTTTTCAGCCCATCTAACATTAAGTTGTGAGTAAGGTGTGATAAGTGTCAGCATCAGTGTCAAGAACTGTTCAAGACTGAGAGGAACATTCTCAAGAGACAGTAATACTGCAAGCTCATCATACTAAACAACTAGCTGCGAGCTCACTGTGTGCAACAACCAGCAAGCAAGGTACAGCCACAGTTTTATTCAAATTTCTATTTTCTTTTTCTTTTCTTTTCTCTTTTGTTTTACTTTCACCAGCCTTTGGTGTTCTTTTTCCAAAAAGCATATTCCAAAATATTCGTGTTGTCTCTACGTCCACCTAAGACTCAGAGTAGCTTAGTGGGGAGACTTAAGGGATTGATAGTGAAGCTTGACCTCACTCATCTGAGTAGTGATACTGAGCCAAGGTTTTCTGTGCCTGCTAGGCTGAGTTCACAGACAACTGTATTCTATCGCTGACTAGAAGTACCCTGCATGCTTGATGTACCCAGCTGCATTCAATTCCATTATCACATCCATTGCAATGTACATGTCATAAACAATCCCATCAAGCTCTTTGGAAAGGTGGTCCTGGTTGCGACAAATGAATGCCTTGATGTTTGAAAATGCCTCCTCAATTGGATTGAGATCGGGTGAATAAGGTGGGAGATATTCAAGGCGTTGTAGAGACTCATGCCTCTCATGGTGTGATATGGCACTTTTCACTAGGGAGTTCATTGCACGAACTTGCAGCACCATTCTGTGTGCTATCTGCAGCTATCCCTATATGAGGCGCAGCTTTCCCGTGCAACGCGCGCCATGCGCGCACCATTCCCGCACTTTACAATGTATACGCGCGCGCGCTTTCCCGCGCTTGGTCGCCCTATAGCGCCAGCCTTCTGGAAGCATCCATCCACTGTCCACCAAGCTCTCTAGTGCGTGTATTTCCATTTCCCTTATTTACATATCATTCCACCTTTATTTATATCATGGACCCTTACTTACATACATATATCTTTACATACCTTACTCGGTAGCGATTCGGCTCCGCACGACAGCGCTTAGGCGCGCCATATAAGCGCCAGCATTACATACTGAAAGGAGGTTTCGAACAACCACTCGACCTCCCACTTACCACCCACATACTACCTAGGAGAACATAGTAGAAATCTATTCTTTGACACCTCGCGCTCGTATCTCTTGTCTAGTATCTAATCACCACTTAAGCAAACTCACTCTTACTCTCTCTCATTACCGCTCACGCGCGCACCTTCGCTTTCCTGCGCCTCGCGCGCACCTGCGCGCTTTCCCGCGCTTCGCATTGGCCGACCAGTAGCGCCTTCAGCGCCTACTACCAGATCCTTGCTGCACTCGCTTCCCCTTTAGGGTCGAACGCACTTGTCGTCTCAAGTATAGCAGACTAGGCAACGCGCGACCTTACAACATTTACAGATACAGTCAGGAGCATCATTTGTTCCTCTCGGTATTGTTGTTTCTACAACTGGAGCCCACCACGAGGGGTCTATCTGGTTTAGTTTTGATTAAGTGATTTCGATTTTAGGATTTCCCGACAAACCCGTATTTTGGACCCGACGACCCGACGATATTTCCGACGTACCCGCAGTTTTTCCCATCATGCCCGACAGATTTGGCATGCCATTCAGGACAGAACAATCAGCCCCAAGATTCACTGGCGATGTTTACGGAGTTTTCGCATTTTTACAATCTGTAGACCAACTCGGACAAAAGTGCAATTTATTGGACACTGAGCTCATCAAGTATACTCTCAGATATATCCAATGCGACCACAAAGAACTATGGGCAGGATGCCCTGAGGCCCGAGGTACATCTTGGTTAGAGTTTACTAATGAAATTTTGTCGTCCTACCCAGAAGGAGGCATACACGAGTATACCCGACCCGATCCGAAGCCCGAAATACCCGAACCCGAGGAATCCGATGATTATGAATGGTGGACACTTCCCCTAAGTGACGAATACACACCCGCACAAGAACGCCTAACTTCAGAAATAGAAATATCCGCACCCGAAGACCCTATCACAACATCCGACGCCCCAGAGGGAGTCCGAAGTACCGAAATTTCGGACTTGACCTTCGGACAAGTTCAGTTACCATCGGAACAATTGGATGTATTTGTAGAAGTCATTGATGCAGACGTACTAACATCAGAAGTCTTAGATTCAGAGCTAACGTCGCTAGAAGACAACGTACCCAAGATACCCGAAACATCGGCCGACGAATTCCCAGAAATATGGGATATTTGTACCAGAAGTTTAGATCACGAACTCATTTTACCTTCTCCGAATTGCACTGATCATTTTGTTCACGCAGTAGCCGTCGCTTTATTTCTCACCGGTTATGTCACTTGGTCTAGGTATCATTTTGAATTGTCACACCCGAAAATCCGCACGTCAAAGCCCGAAACACCGGAAACACATTTCCCCGTCATCCCGAAGATATGCCCCGTTTACCCGCAGTTTCCCTGCATAGTTTCGCCCTACCGTCACCCGTCGCATCGGATCCGAAATATCCGACTCCATCATCCGGTCTACCGATGCTTTCAATACCCTTGTCCATCGCACTCCCAGATCGCGTGTTACCAGTATGAAAGCCAACGACGTCTTTACCTTAGGAAAAAGCTATAGTTCGAAACCCCGAAATTTCGGGTAACGCGATACCCGAAAACGCGCACATATGTTCATAGCTTGCACGTTTCACCCCGGGATTAGGCCGGTGTTTCATATCTCAATAACCCGAAAAATCACTATCCTCATACATCCGCACCTACAGAAGAAAATAATAGTACACAGACATTTGAATCCGAACACGCGCTAATAACCCCTATTTATATAGCATTTCATCTTCGAACTGCGCATCGCGTGCGCACCCTTATATATACGTAGAAAAACCCGAAAACCCGAAAAACCCGAAGAAAGACAGTCAAAAGTTGCACGAAGAAGTCAAGTCAGATGGTAATCTGCGTCCACAGTATCATCTTGACTATGTTATCCGAAAATTCATTTGGCACTTATGATTATTTTTTTCATTGTTTTTTATTAGACACCCTAGTGGGGGATGACCTAGCATCGAGACACGAGACACGGACACAAGGGACACAGGACATACATGGAAACTTCGGACATCGCATCGGACCCGACCCTTTGACATTTCGGACATTAGAAGAATTCATCGGACATCACGCTTTGACATTCGGAAAACACGCGGAATACATTGTACAGCTAGGAGAAACACTAATTGGTAGTACAGAAGCAGAAAGAAATTGAAAGAGACAGAGTATTCAGAAACGCGCCTTTTTGGTGACATGCGCCCGCATCATGTCCAACTCATTCGCAACTTCGGACATCAGCCCCTGGATAGTGCGAAACTTCGCATAAACACCCTGAAGCTTACCCGCTAAAATCAGGTCCTCTCCGCTCAAACCCGAATCCGCAAGTGCGAAATCCTCTTCCTCTACATCCGCCAACTTCCTTTTCCTACCCTGAATCAGCACCACCGGCTTTGCCTTCGAAATGCGCGAGGCGGATGGCATATCTTCACCATCGGAAATCGTAATAGGAGGTTCGGATCCGAGCGAAGACCCGACCCGAACTTTGGAAGCCGCCATCGGCCGACGCGCAGATGCTTTGCCCTTGGCGCGCGCTAAGTACAGGAGTCAAAACACTGAAAAATGCGGAAAAGAGGAAAACTCACCAATGCGAGAATAGGAACATGCCTGTTTAGAGTTCCGGCACTCTGTACACCCGCGTTTTTCGGGTCCGAAGCATTCGGTGTCACGCTTAGCGCAGCGGTCGCAGGGAGGGTCGTGAAGGATCATCCCATCATCAGAATCATCATCCTTGCGAAATATCTAGCGTAAGACAAACACAAAAATTTCGGACTTACCTTCGGCGCAGGTTGCTTTGCCTTGCGCACCCGAGTCGGCCGCTTAATCAGAACTTCGGATTCGCCGTCCGCATCTTCTTCTTCATCGCCCTCACCTTCCATCGAGACATCCGCAGGTGCGCCTTGAGGTTCGGAAATTTCGGCCTGACGCGCGGCCATTTCCTTGAGCGCATGCAGCTGTTCCACGAAGCGATCATGAATCCCCACCAGTTCCTTACCCCTCGCAACATCCTCCGCAGTCAACGCAAGTGCGACACCCTTATCCTTTCCGGCCGCTATAATGATTCCGATATCGGACTTTTGGATATTAGCACGAAAAACCCGAAAATCACAGCAAATGTGACACACCGAAATCTTGTTCCATCTCCTGCACCATTCTTCCTTTTCCACCATGAGATCCGGCCTATCATCTGGTATGCACTTCAATTTGGCCTCCATCTTTTGCCGAAGTTCCGAAAATCTGCGCTGGAGAGACTCAGCCTCAGGAGATAAGACTTGTGCAGTGTCAAAGGGGAACACCATAGTGAGATTAGATGAAGGGGAAAAGAATGAAAGAAGAGAAGCGCAGTTGTCAAGGGCTCGGGTTTATATGCAGAAATTGCGAGAAAGTCTCAGCCGCATTTCCCGCTGGTCACGTGACTTAGAAACCCGCAAATTTGGTGAAGTCTTCCCGCATACCGCTGACTGGGGACAGTCAGTATTCAAAGTTCGTAGGAGATGTAGGACACGAGCTGGCGCTGGGCTTGTATCGAGCTATTTCACAGTACACGTCAAATACCCATCACATGCTAATCACTTCCCGATGTTATCCGACGCTAACCCGCCAACCCGACGTTTAGGCCGCATCGGCCGATGCAAATTCCCGCGCACTCGTCCTTCCCGTGTCCCGTCCTGTCTTGCTAGCCCCACTAGGTGTGTAGTTCATTAATTCACACATTACTCACGTCGTAGCAAGCGCTATTACATGTTTTCCCATAGTCCGCAGCACCTCATGTTTATTTACATGTACTTCGGATCCGAAATCATCCGCCGCTACCTTCGCCTATGGGTTCCGCATTTCTACGTACTTACATATATATTGGACTGACCTCGAGCATTATTCATTATCCAAGTAGAGGGGAGCAGTTCCCCGACGCTTAGTGGTCAAACCCGATATTTCGTAGTTCTTAGTTGATATTGCGAATATCATCGCTCTTTCATTATCCGTATCAATCATCGTTGTCATCACGCATACCGCTCGCTTTTCCAATGCTCGCATAACGCGTCACTATTAGTTCCGCATACCCGACCCGAATCCGACTACCCGACCCGACAAACCCGACGCTTTTGCATCGGACATCGTAAATATACCTTCGGACATTGTTTCCCACGCTCGGACTATTGACCCCACATCACTCACTTACCCCCAAGACTATTCCCAGACTGCAGACCCCTGGGTCGAACGCACTTGTCAGGCAAGTATAGCAGACTAGGCAGTGCAAAGACCACAACACAAATATATCAGTTTGGAGCCATCTTTGTTTTGTTCCTCTCAGTATTGTTGTTTCTACAGCGTACACCTGAAAACACTCTGTATCATTCAAATACAAAATTTAGATGTCTACCTGCTTCGTAAATGAGTTCTGCGACACCATCATCATGGTGGCATGATGCATTGTCCATGACAAGCACACTCAGTTTGCCAGGGTAGGGAAAGCACAAGGGCAACTGCATGGACATTAGTTTACACCTCAAAGACAAGAGAGCAACCTACCACATCCTCTTCAATGAAGGTCATGAACTTCTCAGTGATGAATGAGCCCTCACCCACAGAAGAGGCAATCATGCCATCAACAGTGAGTAAACCTAAACCTGAAAGATGGTGCCCATGAATAAAAACATCCTTCTTTGCTGCTCATACACCTTTCTTTGCCCTTCCAAACCTCCTTGACTGTGTTCTCTCATCCTTGGAGGTCTCGTCCAAAAAAAAAACAAGTTCCTCTGGCTCATATTGTGCCATGTGCCTGATGAAGTCAGCACATTGGACTTCATTTTGTTCCTTCACAATTTTCTTCAACTGCTTACAAGAGATGCCTGCATAGGCAAGCTCTCAATATATGGTTAAGAAGTGGACAGAGATCAGTTGGTTATTCTTGAGCAAATTAAGCAACTCGTCCAGAAACCAATCCGGTCGATGGTGGATGAGTCAAAGGAGATAGTGAATATCTTCAAAGTATAAAGTGCATGGGCGACCACAAATTCTGTAGGTGTGCTGCATGACATTACCATTCTCCCTCCATAGTTTGAGAATCCGCCAGAAGGTTCTCTCGGAGAATTCAACACATTCAAGAATCTGCTCTAGGGATAGGATTTCACGCTCATAGAGATTGACAGCTGCTAGTTTTACGTCGCGACTGATCTTGTGAAAGGGCATGTTGGAGGTTTGCGACAACACAGGGGGTATGTGTAGTACTTTCCAAATATGGTGAACAATAATTTATTTTCTCATGATATCCGGTACTGCCAACCTCTTTGCAAATAGCTGTAAAACCCTAAATACTAGGCTCATGTCAGTTTCACCCATCAGACATACAGAAAAATAAAGAAAAGACAGACACAGGATTCACATCATGTGATACTTCTCACTCCCTTTTTTCTGGATTTGTCATCAGGAGCTAGACAGATCACATGACTAGCAACAAGCCAGCATGACTCAGCCATATACTCAATGACTCATTATAACTGGAAATGACTCTTGATGACTCTTGAATACACTAGTAGCACAGCCACATTTATTGTGTATATAATGACCCCAGTTTTTGAAATAAAATATATAAGAGAGCAAGTGGGTGTTTTTCAGCCTATCTAACATTAAATTGTGAGTAAGATGTGATAAGTGTCAGCATTAGTGTCAAGAACTGTTCAAGACTGAGAGGAACATTCTCAAGAGACAGTAATACTGCAAGCTCATCATACCAAATGACTAGCTGTGAGCTCACTGTGTGCAATAACCAGCAAGCAAGGTACAGCCATAGCTTTTTTTATTCCAATTTCTATTTTCTCTTTTCTTTTCTTTTTACTTTTACCAACCTTTGGTGTTCTTTTTCTAAAAACATATTCCAAAATATTTGTGTCGTCTCTACGTCCACCTAAGACTCAGAGTAGCGTAGCGGGGAGACTTTAGAGATTGATAGTGAAGCTTGACCTCACTTATCTGAGTAGCGATACTGAGCCAAGGTTTTCTGTGCCTGCTACATCAGGAAAAAGTGTTCAAGCCTTTTTAGCTAAAATAAGCTGAAATAAGCTGAAAAAGACTCAAAAGCTAAAAAATCTTAAATGGCAAAGTTCCTTCTTTCTGAGCTACTTTAGCCAGCAGAATTTCCTACAAACAAAAATATACATTCAATGCAATGCTCTAGTGAATCTCTGGTATCTTGCTTTTTGGACTTTTTAAGCTTTTCAAAGCTTAAAAAGCTAGTTGTGCTAGTAAATGTTACAAAAAGATGAAAAAGCCACTGTATTTATAATATAGCTTTACCAGACAAAAAAAAGTGTAATAAAAGTAATAGAAAGCAATGTAACTGTGTCTCTACTTCCTCTTTCTAGCTATCATTAGCACTTTGGCACCTTCCCCTATTATATTGAAATAAATCTTGCTGTTAGTAATGCTATCACCTTCATCAAGAAATGCAGCAATATCCTTGCAATGCTCCCTGTCTAACATTAGCACATATCTTTCAAATCAAAATGCACGACTTACTTTAACACGTCCTGCAGCTCTAGTCTAATGAGATACTAAGAAGAGGGTCAGGCAACTCAAGGCAGGTGTTGCCTTTCTTTCCCATCTTCACTGTGTCACCTGTGACAGACCAAAAAGTATCTTCAATCAAGTAAGCGAATATATTGCATTATTCATCCATATTCTGGACTTGTCATATGTCCTGGCCTGGAAGTAGGAGTGATGAGCATGCAATAGATGATTAATATATAGCAGTTACACACTTGAAACAAAGAAAACACACCTCCAGGTCTATACTGTCATACAGGAATGCTTTATTCAACAACAACCAGTCTACAGCTTCCTTAAGGTCATTGCCTTGTAGCCCAGAAAGTTCATACCAGACAGCTACTGTCATATCCCGCGTTCCGGACACGGACTTATCATACATCTCATTTCCGGATGTCTGGATCCGGCCGACGTCTATCTATGTCCAAATCCAACCCGCGTCTAACTTCCGTGCCTTATCCCTTTGTAGGTTCCTACTCCAGTTAGACTATATCATTTTCCATACCTCATTTCATTTCCGCCTTTATTTTCATCTGTTCTAATCTCCGGGTTCATTTACTATTTTCCGATAGACTAGTGTTTGACTTTTCTATACGCTCCATCCACAGCTTTGCATAGCTTCGGACTGCACGTCTCTGTTCTCTGATAAGTCCTCAGTAATATGTAAACCCTGTAGAATCTATGTATATCCTTAGTTCGAATATCATCTTAGACTCTGCTCATTCCCTCCTCCGTCTGACTTGAGTTTCTCTCTCATCGACCTCCGCTCGTCTTAGGATCGATTCCTATAGACTTGTCACCTCCGCCTCTACCTCTGGTAGTCCTCCGCTGTTTCCTTTCTAGTTCGGACTTTGTCCGGATTAGTCTTATCTCTTGTTCCCAAACGTCCGCCGGAATTCCCGCACATTGGACATTGGACTCCGGACATTGCCTGACGCCCTCCGGACATCGTTCGACAGCCCTCGGAAGTTAGGGGCACATACTCGGGTAAGGGGCGCAGCGCACGAGCTGAAGCCAAGCCCTTCGGATCCGACCTTTGAGCACGTTCTTAACAGCTACCCCACTTCTAGCCTTACCTACCAATATAGTTTTTACTTGGTCACTACCATTTCATGTCTTAGATAAGAAAGCATCAGCATGACATGTGTTACATCAATAAAAACTCACATAGGCTACAAGCTTACCTTTAAAAACATCATCTACTTGAACTTCTTTCATTTTGGCCTTTAGCTTGTTGTTGTTAGATGCCTCCCTACACATAATAGTCCAACTTAAAGAAATGTGCCTCCCAGATAGAGAAAATCCTTCCTGCAGGGCTGTATCTCTTTTCATACCTCTGAGAGCTATTCTGGCAATGTGTACTGCTCTGGGACTATTAAAATCATTAAGAGTGACCTTAGTAGCACCCTTGCTGGCAGTGGTGTCAGAGATATTAGCATGAGTAGAGTTGATGACGATCTTTTGTATGTGTTAGCATAGTATGGGAAGAGAACTAACACTCACCTCATGGTTCTGCAGCATATGTGTTAAAGAAGTGTCTTCCACTGAAACATTTGCAGGTGGTTCTTCTGGAGTGGGTTCTTTATCAGAAGAATCTTCTAGACATAAGATATTTTTAGCACAGCTAGGATTAGCTTTATTTTCTTCCAGAGGGTCCTCTGTGGGTGCCTCTGCCTCTGCCTCATCATCACTAGAATCAAAAGTTATCTTTCTTAACTTCCTTGGATGCCCAGTAGCAGATATTACACTCTCTTCATTATTCTCTTCCTCCTCCTCAAAGTCAGCTGACTCCTTGGCCAGCGTTGCTGCTGTTCTCATTCTAGTTTCTATAATGAATCACTCTTAGTGTCTGCAGGTAGAAACAATTATCACATATCCTTTTTCTGCATTTCTGCTTTCTTCAAGGCTGCCTCCTTTGCAGCTTTTTTGAGTGCCTCCAATTTCTTGGCTTTGGCTGCACTGAAAGTAGATATAGTAGCCTTTGCTCTGGTAGTACAGCTGGTAGGTTTGGCTACAGCACTGCTGGGAGCACTCCTTAGTGCTGCTGCTGTCTTCCTTGCTATTGTAGTACCTCTAGTTGCAGGGTCAGAAGGAGACTTAGAAGTGTTAGACATAGCCTCAGCCTTAGATGTAGCCTTAGTCTTAGCAGAACTTTTCTTAGGAGCCATATGTGTGAGAAAGTAAGGCACCCTCCAAACAAGTAAAGAAGTGAAGAGGTGACATAAGTTATATCAGACTTTAAGTGCTCTACAAAGAGGCTACAGCATTGAAGCATTTAATAGCTAATAGAATAGCTAGTGTCATCCAGAGAAATTTACATTATTTCTCCAATAATTCCTAGTCTCCTTCCAGTTGGCAAACTCTCTATTGGTGTGTAGGACAAGAGATGCTCTCCTCATATAGTCTAGGCTGAAGTAAGTAGTGTCTTTAGATAAGAAAATCATGAAGTCTCTACTATGCAACCCTACCACTAAACCCTGTTCCTTCAATACTAGCTCTCCATGTTTAAAGTCTCCCAACAGAAGGACCAAGCAGTAAATCAAGTCTTTACCATCTCTGTATGCTAAAGTACAAACATTGATGTTCACTACTAGAGAAAGAAATGGCACAACAGGAGACCCAGGTTTTCCGGGCAGCAGGTCCACATACTGGATCAAAAACTCATATTCTTCCGGTAGACACTGACATATCTACACTATGTCTCAGCCTCCCAGTATGGAACTTCCAGATAATATAAATAGTGTACCACATTCTTGATTCATTCAAACAAATCTCCAAAGTTAGTAATCATCTCTTGGTACAGGTCAGTATGTTCAACTATTTTCCTGGAGGGATAAGGCAAGAACTAAGGTAGTTCGTATGAGATGCTCTTGCTATCCTAAGGTTATGAGCCCCTTCAGTGACAAATTCCGTATTATACGGGCCACCCGACCTACATAATATCCCGTATCAGATGGGCCAGCTGTTAAGAACGTGCTCAAGGGTTGGATCCGAAGGGCTTGGCTTCAGCTCGTGCGCTGTGCCCCTTACCCGAGTACGTGCCCCTAACTTCCGGAGGTTGTCGAACAATGTCCGAAGGTTACCGGACGATGTCCGGAGGGTGTCGGGCGATGTCCGGAGTCCGATGTCCGATGCACGGGAATTCCGGCGGACGTTCGGGAACAAGAGATAAGACTAATCCGGACAAAGTCCGAACTAGAAAGGAAACAGCGGAGGACTACCAGAGGTAGAGGCGGAGGTGACAAGTCTATAGGAGTCGATCCTAAGACGAGCGGAGGTCGACGAGAGAGAAACTCAAGTCGGACGGAGGAGAGAATGAGCAGAGTCTAAGATGATATTCGAACTGAGGAAACTACAGAGATTGTACAGGGGTTTATATACTACTGAGGACATAACGGAGAACAGTAAGTGCAGTGCGAAGCTATGTAAAGCTATGAAGAAAACATATGGGACGACTATCACTAGTCTATCGGAACTTAGTAAAATGAAGACGGAAATGAATAAGGAACGGAAAATAAAGCATACTAACTGATAAGGGAAATACCAAAGGGATAAGGCACGGAAGTTAGACGCGGGTCGGATCCGGACGATACATAGAAGTCGGCCGGATCCGGAAATCCGGAAATGATGAGTGTGATAGGTCTGGGTCCGGAACGCGGGATATGACACCAGCGGACCATGGGCCCATGTTGTGTATATCCTCAATGATGACGGATGGGCCGGGTAACATATTATTTCTGATGGAGACGGGTGGGCCCATGTATGCCAATGATATATATATCCTTGATGTTGACGGATGGGCCGGGGGAATATGATCATTCATGGAGATGGGTGGGCCTATCTGGGTAATATGTAGAGTAGGATATTATAGACAGCTGGGCTGAAGAGAGAGGTAAGGCAAATATTGTTATATAGACGGGTGGGCCGACAGGGGTGTATTACATATACGGGTGGGCCGGGGTAGCGGAATATTACATAGACGGGTGGGCTGACGTGGGGCATATTACATATACGGGTGGGCCAACATAAGGGATATCAAATAGACGGGTAGGCCGAGGGTGCGACAAAATATTTATTACATAGACAGGTGGGCCGAGGTGGTGGAATATCACATATACGGGTGGGCCGACATAAGGGATATTAATTAGACGGGTGGGCCGAGGGTGTAATAAAATATTTATTACATAGACAGGTTGGCCGAGGTGGGGTATAATTATATAGATGGGTGGGCCAACGTAGGATGTATTACTGTTAAGAACGTGCTCAAGGGTCGGATCCGAAGGGCTTGGCTTCAGCTCGTGCGCTGCGCCCCTTACCCGAGTACGTGCCCCTAACTTCCGAGGGTGGTTGAACGATGTCCGAAGTTTACCGGACGATGTCCGGAGGGCGTCGGGCGATGTCCGGAGTCCGATGTCCGATGCACGGGAATTCCGGCGGACGTTCGGAAACAAGAGATAAGACTAATCCGGACAAAGTCCGAACTAGAAAGGAAACAGCGGAGGACTACCAGAGGTAGAGGCGGAGGTGACAAGTCTATAGGAGTCGATCCTAAGACGAGCGGAGGTCGACGAGAGAGAAACTCAAGTCGGACGGAGGAGAGAATGAGCAGAGTCTAATATGATATTCGAACTGAGGAAACTACAGAGATTGTACAGGGGTTTATATACTACTGAGGACATAACGGAGAATAGTAAGTGCAGTGCGAAGCTATGTAAAGCTATGAAGAAAACATATGGTACGACTATCACTAGTCTATCGGAACTTAGTAAAATGAAGACGGAGATGAATGAGGAACGGAAAATAAAGCGTACTAACTGATAAGGGAAATACCAAAGGGATAAGGCGCGGAAGTTAGACGCGGGTCGGATCCGGACGATACATAGAAGTCGGCCGGATCCGGAAATCCGGAAATGATGAGTGTGATAGGTCCGGGTCCGGAACGTGGGATATGACAGTATCCCCCCTTTAGGGCCGAGCCCACGAGGCTTCTGATTCGGAAGTCCGGACCGGACTTTTATGAATGCGAGATGATGGGCGGAGCTCGTAAAAATAGCACTGAGCATATAAGTAGGCCGGGGCGCCCATGAGACGTCTAAAACTTTCCCTTTAACTCCTATTACTGCTTTTAACATGTCTAACTCCACTTCCGGCAACAAGAAGACCGCCCGGCAGGTTCTCGAAGAGAGACAGGCGGAAATGGCGGCCGAAATTGCGCGGCTTGAGGCGGACGCTCGGAGAGAGGCGGAGGAAGAGGAACGCAAACGCAAGGAGGCGGAAGAGGAACGGAAACGGATGGAGGAGCAGAAACGGAAGGATATCGAGGAGACTCGGAAGAGGTTGGCTGAGCGCGAGCAGGAGCGTTTGGCAAAGGCTAGGATGGGTAATGTGTCGGAGGTGAGTCGGATGAGGTTTTTTGCGTTTTTTCCGGAGTTTAACAATTTTTAGTCCTCCGGTCCGGCGGATCCGGAGGTTGCGTGTGAGATGTGCGTCCTTAGGCGCAAGATTTGCACCTGGGCAGTAGCGTCTAGGACGCCTAGGGTGAGTTTTTCTGTTTTGTCCGGATCCGGATGACTACTGATGATTTCCGAAAGATCCGGACGTGTGACCAGTGCCGCGCGTCCAAGGAAAAGTGCGTCGGCGGAAATCCGCCTGTCAAGGCGCCGGCCGGCAAAGGCAAAGGCAAGAAACGCGCGCGTCCGGAGGGATCTCCGAGCCCCAAGGGCAAAGGAAAAAGACGTCAGCGCAGTCCGGAGGACATCGACGACGACATAGAAATAGTCTCCAATCCCCGGACGGTTATTGGAGAGGATCAAGACTGGGCGGAGTACGACGACCAGGCCTGGGTCGCAGCCGCCAACAACATAGTTGCGGAACTGGCCCGGACGAATGGGCTGATGGAGAGGGGGATTGCAGCGGCGGAGGGAAGTAGAGCTGCGATGGACCGGGTGAGTGAGACCATGCTCCGGTTCATGGAGGAGCAGAGGGAGTTTCAGACTCTCTTCATGGAGAGTCTGAGGGGCGGTTTCCGGATGCATGTAGAAGATGCTCCGGAGGAGGAAAATGAGGAGGAGGCGGAAAAAGAGGCCGGCGGATCCGGCGGAGACATGGAGATGGACTCTTAGGTCGTCGGATCCGAAGTCCGGATGTCGGACGCCTAAATAATGTACATATATGCATGTTTTTCCTTACTCTTTGTTAGAAGTTGGTCCCGGCTTGTCCGGATATGCTGAATGGAAATCCGATAGAAGTTCCGGCGCATTTCCGAGTTCGGTTGCGAGTATCCAGGAAGTTTCTTCAATAATCCATATGGTTTGTGTCGCGGAACTTTAGCTCGGGCGCAGGTCGTGCAGGACTTAACATAGTCCTTCACATATGCGCGGATTCCGGGCCAGGTATATTCCCGACGGATAACTTCCAGGGTCCGGTTCTGACCGAAATGTCCGGATAGCGGGTGGTCGTGCGTATTCCGGAGCACTCGGAGACGGAGGTCATTGGATTCTGGAACGTATATACGGTTGTCGCAACGGAGGAAACCACTCTCGTCCACTGTCCATCTCGGGTCCGACGGATCCGGAAGATGACAGGAAGCGATAGGGTCATTAGGGAGGGCGGACAGAATGTCCTTATGAAGCTGCTCGACATCCATCAGTACAGCTGTCCGGAGCACCGGAATTGCTAGGTGTGATGCCCGGAGGGACGAAGCGAGCTGTTCTGTGGTAAATATCGGCCGGAGGTTGTGTGGATTAACTTGAGCGTAGTCCTTATCCCCCTCTTTGGGGTAGACGTCCCAACGTCTAGTTAGGCAGTCGGGCTTAGCTCCGAGTTTTCCGGGTCGGAAACGGATAATCAGGTTGAACTGGTGAAGGTATTCCGACCAGCGGGCCTGGCGGCGGGTGAGGAGTTTTGTGGTAGCGAAGTACTCAAGGTTCTTGTGATCCGTGACGACGTCTATCGGCTCGGCAGAGCCTTCAAGGTAGTGTCGCCAGGACCGGAAAGCTTCGTAGATAGCTAGAAGTTCCTTATCATGGGTGTCATAGTTGAGTTCCGGAGCCGAAAGGGTCCGGGAGTAAAAAGCAACCGGGCGGAGCTCCTGGTCCGGACATACTATAGAAAGTATTCCGGCGATAGCATAGTCGGAAGCGTCCGTCTCAACGACGATAGGAACATCCGGCATCCAGTGCGTAAGCACCGGAGCGGTAGTGAAGGCTTTCTTGAGAGTTTCAAAAGATTTCCGGCAATCCTCGGAGAAATTCCAGGGAGCATCCTTGCGAGTGAGCCGCGTAAGCGGAACTACAATATCCGAGTAGTTAAAGATGAAGCGACGATAGAAATTGGCGAATCCGAGGAACGATTGAATATCCTTGACTTTCCGAGGTTCCGGCCAGTCGCAGATAGTCTGGACTTTGTCGGAGGACATTGTAAGTCCGGCCGGAGATAGGAGGTAACCGAGGTATTCTACAGAGTCGGAATGGAATTCGCACTTCTCCGGTTTAGCATATAGCCGATGCTTCCGGAGGCGTCGGAGGACTTCAAGGACGTGTTTTTTATGAGATGCAAGGTCTGCGGAATAGATGAGGATGTCGTCGAGGTACACAATAACACAAATGTCAAGCATATCGGCAAAGATGGTATTGACAAAGCGCTGGAAAGCCGCCGGAGCATTGGTGAGACCCTCCGGCATAACCAACCATTCATACGAGCCGTAGCGCGTCCGGAAAGCAGTTTTCCACTCGTCTCCTTCCGCCATCCGGACTAGATGGTATGCGGACCGGAGGTCGATCTTAGTGTAAACTTTAGCGCGGCTCGGAGAATCGAGAAGGTCGGAAATGAGGGGAAGCGGGTAGCGGTCTTTCTTTGTGATTTTATTGAGTCCTCGGAAATCTACACAGAGGCGTAGGGAGCCGTCCTTCTTTTGGACGAATAGGACAGGGGCTCCGTGCGGAGAGGATGAGGAACGAAGAAGTCCGGTCGCAATATTCTCATCAAGGAATTTGCGAAGAGCTACAAGCTCAACCGGAGAAAGGGAATAGATGGTGCCAAGGGGCGGAGCCGCTCCTTCTTCCAATTCGATCTTTAGATCATATGGACGATGGGGAGGGAGCTGTCCGGCTTTGCCCTTATCAAAGACATCCGCATACTCGTGATATTCCGAAGGAATTCCGGATAGGTTCGGAGGTTCGGAGGAGAGTGTAGCGGAGCGGAGATTGACACCGGACGGACGAACAAAAATACTGAACTGAACCGATCCCTCTAATTTACAGGCCCGGCAAAAGGCAACTGCATTGATTAGGGAAATATTAGGACCGGCATTATCAGCGGAGGGAATCGGCGAGGTTGAGGAAGGGATTTCCGCCGGAGCCGGCGGAAAAGAGGTCGGAGGGGTCGGAGGCACTCCATGAGGAATCGGACGGAAATCGATGCTGCCCTTTACCCAGTTAATCAACGGATTGTGTCGGGTGAGCCAGCTATATCCTAGAACGATGGAACAGGATGAGTCCAGCGGAGTAACATAAAATGTTTCGGAGGTAACCACGCCGGTCGGAAACCGGATTGGTAAATCTACTGCCTCAGTAATAGTGGCATTAGAAGTACCATCAAACAGATGGAGCGGAAGCGGAGGAATTGCATAGGTTGGAATGTTATTTTCTCGGATTAATCTGGTTTCTATAAAACAATGAGACGATCCACAATCTACAAGAGCCGGAAACGGAGAGATATCGGGAAAAGTAGAAATTGAAACGGATGGTACTAGAGAGTTCGGATCGGAAAAGGAAATAGCGTTGAGACGTAGCTCCATTGCGCGGGTTGAGTCAACGCAACCCTCGTCCCGCGCGGAGTCAGGAGGGTTGCGGACTAATTTTTTGTCTCTTCCGAGACCTCCGGTTTGGCTTCCGGAGTCACCGTGCTAGCACGACCTTTGGCCGCACGGGAAGTGGACTTTAGGCAGTCCCGGGCAGTGTGACCGGGTCCGCCGCAGAAGAGGCAGAGCTTCTTCTCCATGCGCCTCTGGCGTTCCTCGGAGGTGAGTTTGCCGTCTTTTCCGAGCTTGGACATCAAGTCCGGAAGTTTGGCGGAGGAGGAAGCCGAAGCGTTTCCGGATTTTCCGCCGGAGTACTCTTTCCGGTCGGAAGTGGAAGCTGACTGCTTAGCAGGAGGCGCGGATGCGGAGGGTTTGGTTTCGCGGGAGACTTCTCCCTTGCGTTCCCAGTATCGAGCGTCGATAGTCTGGGCGAGAGTTTTGTATTGGGACAGAGTGGTGGGTTTTCCTTGACGACTGATTTCGTCTTTGATGCGAGCCGGAAGTCCGTTGTAGAACTGACGGCGCAAAGCTCCGTCGCCCCAACCTCGGACTTGGGAAGCTAGCCGCTGGAACTCTACAACATACTTGTTGATGCGCTGTCCGTCGCGCATATAGAGCTGTTCCAGCTGCATTTCCGCATCTCCGACCGGGTCGTGAGGTCCGAAGTTAGTTTGGAGTTCTAACATGAACTCGGAGTAGTCATCCATCCAATCCGGACGATCCGCTAGATCATCCGAAAGGAGGTCCGGCTCAAACCATTCAAGGGCCATGCCCTTGAGGTATGATTGCGCGAAGTTGACCTTAGTTCGGCCGGTACGGAAAGATTTCGGCTTAGCTTGGAAGTTAAGCTCACATTGGACAAAGAACGCCCGGAGTTTCCGGGGCTCAGTGCCATCGAAGGTATCCGGTTCTCGGACTTTGACTTTAGGATCACCGGATCCGGAGGATTGGCGGTTGTTACGCGCCAGGTTATTGATGGCTTGGGATAGCCGGAGGAAGACCAAGTCTTGTGGACCTAGACCTTCGTTTTCATCGTCAGTCGGGTCTTCCGGAGGTTCATCATCCGGATCTCCGCCACCTCCTCCTGGCGGGTTACCGCCTAGGGCAAGTTCATCGTCGGAATTATTGTGCGGAAGATTTCCGGCGGGTGTGGGGGTGGGGGTAGACGGATGTGGGCGATTCATGAGTTGTGAGATACTGGAGGCAGCACCTTGCGCACTAGCGCGGCGCTGTGAGAAACTGAGGAAGGCATCGACTATGGGAGTAGAGTCGCGTCGGGCGGTTACAACACCGCTGCATTAAGAGCGGTCTGCGCCCGTGTAGGTGCCATGAAGTCAGATGTAAGTATACTCGGTAAGGTGTGAGTTCGAATATACTGTTAAGAACGTGCTCAAGGGTCGGATCCGAAGGGCTTGGCTTCAGCTCGTGCGCTGCGCCCCTTACCCGAGTACGTGCCCCTAACTTCCGAGGGTGGTTGAACGATGTCCGAAGTTTACCGGACGATGTCCGGAGGGCGTCGGGCGATGTCCGGAGTCCGATGTCCGATGCGCGGGAATTCCGGCGGACGTTCGGAAACAAGAGATAAGACTAATCCGGACGAAGTCCGAACTAGAAAGGAAACAGCGGAGGACTACCAGAGGTAGAGGCGGAGGTGACAAGTCTATAGGAGTCGATCCTAAGACGAGCGGAGGTCGACGAGAGAGAAACTCAAGTCGGACGGAGGAGAGAATGAGCAGAGTCTAATATGATATTCGAACTGAGGAAACTACAGAGATTGTACAGGGGTTTATATACTACTGAGGACATAACGGAGAATAGTAAGTGCAGTGCGAAGCTATGTAAAGCTATGAAGAAAACATATGGTACGACTATCACTAGTCTATCGGAACTTAGTAAAATGAAGACGGAGATGAATGAGGAACGGAAAATAAAGCGTACTAACTGATAAGGGAAATACCAAAGGGATAAGGCGCGGAAGTTAGACGCGGGTCGGATCCGGACGATACATAGAAGTCGGCCGGATCCGGAAATCCGGAAATGATGAGTGTGATAGGTCCGGGTCCGGAACGCGGGATATGACACTTTCTATAGTGCACTACCACTGCATGGTTTGTCATTATGAGCCATAGATAGTAGCTATTGGAATATAATAATCAAGAAGTTGACAGAAGAACCAAGAAGAAAAGTCAGACTGGACATCTGCATAGTTTTGGCAATTACAACCACTTGGTTGAACGCAACTCTGATGAGCTTGTAAGCGAACCGACCATGAGCATATGTCAAGGTGTGGTTTCATAAAAAAAATGAAAATTATCATTGGCAGGTTTCAAACCTGCACAGTACAAGAGACACAGATTTTGACTCTGATGATCACTTGACGATTTCATCTTTAGCAGGTTTTGAACCCACACAGACAGATTTTGATTCTGTCGTATTAACTGCTTGGCTAAGAACAGCTAGAAGCATCTTTAAAGAAAACATTCAGAAGTGAATTTGCAAGGCAAGTCCACCGTTCTCTGTCACTCACAATGTTTTCCCTCAGCTGAACAGATGAATTAAATATAAACTGCAATACAGCACTTTCAAAAGCAAGAGGAGAGCAACATGATGATGAAAGGGTCTCAAACACAGTGCACCTCAACCTTATACACGAGCAAATAGTGGTCAGATGGCTCTTTTGAATCTTTGCCTTGAATCTCTGCCTTGACAGATGTGTATTCTTCCTTGTTACCCAGGTCATTGGGATCAAACTTGAAAGTTTGATGTGTAATCTGCTCTTCTTCTTCAACCAAGTCAAGACCTTTGGAGAGAATTAAATTGCTCTTGTGCTTATCATTCCAAGTTTGTATCAAGACTTTGGTCATATATTGAACTTTGCATCAAAAATAAAAAAAATGAATAGCGACCATGCTATTGAAAGAACTGGCAAAATGCAGATGAATGTGCCTTGAGAATTCACTTCTGAATGAGTTCATTAGAAGTTCATCTCACTGGTCTTAGTCAAGCAGTTGATATGACAGAATCTAAATCTGTCTGCGTGGGTTCAAAACCTACCAAGGATCAAATTGCCAAGTGATTACCAGAGTCAAAATCTGTTTCTCTTGGAATGTGCGAGTTTAAAACCTGACGATGATGACATTTTTATTCTATGAAATCGCACCTTGACATTTCCTCATGATTGATATATGTTTTTTTTTTCCTGTTAGAACACACCTTGACATCGACTCATGTGTACTTTCCTGAGAGGTTCATATATCACTAGTCCTAGCCAAGTAGATGTTGCAATAGAGTCAAAATCTGTTTCTTTCAAACCATGCAGGTTCAAAACCTTCTTGCAAAATATTTATATTTTGCAGTGTATAGATTCTCAGAGACACAAGTGCAAGAAAATAGGGACAGTTGGACATTTTGAAGTATTCATCAAAGTGATATCATTTGTGTCTGTTTTATCTTTTTCAATGCGGCCCAGGTGTTACTGCTTTGTACTAGTTTTGCAGCAGAATGTAGCAAGAATGCTTCTCTTGCATCTGTACATTGTGGTCTGTAGCTGGGAGTATCCTTCAGCATGACATGAAAAATAAAATGATGAAAATATACTAGCAGTATTGGATTGGACAATATATGGACATGTAATGTAGGGCGCGCACAAAAATGCAGTGCTTGGTATGGGACAGGGTGTGATTTCATAAAATAAAAATGTCATAATTGGCAGGTTTCAAACCTGCCCGGTCCAAGAGAAACAGATTTTGACTCTGATGATCACTTGCAATTTCATCTTTGACAGGTTTTGAACCTGCACAGACAGATTTGGATTCTGTCATATTAACTGCTTGGCTAAGACCAGTTAGATGCACTCCCAATGAATCCATTCAGAAGTGAATCCCCAAGGTACATCCATCTATCCTGCATTTTGTCAGTTTTAACATTAATTTCTAACA